ATGGGGATCCCTTTCCTCAAATCTGCAATGAAGACTCGTTGCCTTCTAAAAATTTATTTTTTACATGAGAGGTATCAGGGCGCTGGGGTGGCTCAGTCGGTTGAGCATCTGACTTCGGCCCAGGTCATGATCATGATCTCATAGTTCACGAGTTTGAGCCGCACGTCATGCTCTGTGCTGACAGCTTGGAGCCTGGAGCCTGCTTTAGATTCTGTGACTCCCTCTCTCTGTCTGTCCCTCCCCTGCTCGTGCTCTCTCTCTCAAAAATAAATAAGCATTAAATTTTTTTTTAATAAATAAATAAATAAATAAATTAGAGGTATCATTTGCAGAGAGTAAAATGCACAAATCTTGCACAGCTAAGTGACTACAGATAGATGACTGACAGACAGATATAGATATGTAGATATCCCAGTAATCTATCTCTACCTAACCCCTTTGGTATAACCACCGTCCAAATAAACACAGTATTTCCAGAACTCCAGAAGGTTTTCCTGTGACACCCTCCAGTCAACCACCACGGCCCCAGAGACCCTTCCTTTTTCTGCCTTTTCACCACCTTTTCATCACTTTTCAAGCCTGTTCTTCATATGCCCTCACATACACGGGGCCACGCTGTGTGTTTTCTTCTGTGTCTGGCTTCTTTCGCCCAAATACGTCGTTCCTGAGGTTTATCCCCGACGTTACATGTAGTCGTGTTTTCTTCCCTATCTACCGCTGAGCATCACTCCAACGCACATTCGTGCCACGGTCACGGAGAACGGTCTCCAGGGGATGGACAATGGGGTTGTTTGCAGGCTGCGGCTTCTGTGGGCCAGCTTGCACGAACACTCTTAGCTATGTCTTTGCAGACATGGGCACATGTGCACACATTCCCCCTGGAATATAAATAGTGGGATGGCTGGGTCAAAGAACAGGTGTACGCTTAATTTCATTTGCTACTTCTGAACAGTTTTCTAAGGGGGTTGTACTACTTCCTGCTTCCTTCCTGACAAGCGCTCAGTGTTTTTCCTGATAGGTGCTCTTCTGTTCACACTCCCTTCTCGCCACAAAGCTGCTCCATCACCTTACACAAGTTTGTGGGTGCGAGCAAAGCCTTCACTGTGACCTGTGACCTCCAACTATTCTCACCAAAGGAGATAGGACGTCACTTCAGTGGTTATGCTACTGAAGAATACAACTGCCATCTTGACAGTGGGCTTTTTCTACCTTCCTTGTGCATTTGGATGATGATGTGGAATCCCTGTTTTGGGAAAAGCCCTCTTGGCAAGGAACCCAGGACCATCTCCAGCCAGCAAGGAACTGGCTTCTTCCAACAAGCATGTGGGCTTGTGTTGTATAATAAAGAATTTGGCTGGTCGTTGTCCCTGGCTCCCGGGAGCTAATCTCTAAGCGCTTGGAATCTATCTGTCACCCTTTTTCGAAGTTTATTTATTTATTTTGAAGAGACAGAGGCAGTGCAAGTAGGGAGGCGCAGAGAGGGAGAGAGAGAATCCCAAGCAGGTTTCGTGTTGTCAGCACAGAGCCCGATGTGGGGCTCAAACTCACAAACTGTGAGATGGTGGCCTGAGCTGAAATCAAGAGTCAGACGCTCAACTGACTGAGTCCCCCAGGGAACCCCTTGGATCTCTTGGGTACCAGTAGCATCTTTATTATTCACAGCAGGCACCTTGGGCCACACCTGAGTTTATGGCAGTGAGATGACTCAGGATGGGGGCTGGTGGTGCCAGAAAGACCACGTGATTACAAGGTTACAGCCTTGACCTCTGGGGATGAGAAGAGGCTGCAGATAGAGTCCATCATGTGGGCAATGCTGCAATCAATCATGCCTATGTGATGATATCCCCAAGAAAACTGTGCACACTGAGGCTCAGGGAGTTTTCTGGCTGGTGACACATCCTGAGACCATAGGAAGCTTTGCTTTTGGGGCCCTCCCAGGCTTCACCCTATGTGTCTCTAAATCTAGATGGTCTTGATTTATATCCTTTATAATAGAAATTATAATAATAAATATAGTGCTTTCTTGAATTCCGTCAGTGGTTCTAGCAAGTTATTGAACCTCACAGAGTAGTGGGAATCTACAAAAATTTAGGTCATCTGTTCATGGGTGCAGGTGGCTCAGGAACAGCTGAGCACATAGCTGGTGTCTGCAGTGAGGACAGTCCTGTGGGCCCCTCACCCTTAGCCTGTGAAGTCTGTGCTCACTCTGGGTGACGCGTGTCAGAACTGCAGCACGGAAGTGGATCCTTCCCCAGCTGAGCTTCCGGATTAGACCCCAGCCCCGGCTGACTCGGCGACTGCAGGTCACAGACAACCCTGCTCAGCGATGCTTCGGCTCTTGGCCCCCAAAACAATGAAATACTGAAGGTGTGCTGCTTAAGCTGCTACCTTCAGGGTAATGCTGTTACACAGCAATAGATAACCGAAACACTCACACCATTGTGGGCATCATTCCACATAATGGACCCAAGACACAGAGACACCTTCACCACTGGCGGCTGGGGGTGGGGAGAGTCATGTGATTTTCTGGAAAGGAAATGGGCTTTGGAGACAGAGCTGGGTTCCAACTCCTGCACCTGCCTCTCCTACCTCTGTGTCTTTGTGCAAGGGGACCTGCCTCACTGCCTCTCAGGTTACATATTCCCAGTTAATTTGCCCCCACCCGCCAAATTTTACCAAGTACAATTTGGAATTTCGTCAAATACAATTTGGTAAAAAATAATGGTTCACCTATACCATGAAGTCAGCAAGTTGGTCAAAGTGTGGGTAAACTGGGATTTACATTAAAAAAAAAATTTTTTTTTAATTAGGGGTGTGTGGGTGGCTCAGTCAAACATTGGACTTTGGTTGAGGTCGTGATCTCATGGTTCGTGGGTTCGAGCCCTGCAATCTCATGTTTGTGGCTTTGAACCCCTTGTTGGGATCTGCACTGACAGTGTGGAGCCTGCCTGGGATTCTCTCTCTCTGCCCCTCCCCACTCACACTTTCTCTCTCCCACTCAAAACAAATAAATAAACTTAAAAAATTTGTTTTAAGTCCCGCCCAACTGGGCCAACCTCACTCTTTAGGAACACCATGCGTCTCTCTGCCTGCTTAGTTTATGGACTATAAAGCGCTTCATAGTTTGATTTCTAGGGGAAAACAATACAATTTCAATTGTATTTCAGTTTGCTGGTCCATCTATTCATATTTTTTTCTTTTTCTTGGATACAGAAAGAGAAAAAATTTATTTTTATTTTCAATTTTATTAAAAATATTTAAAATTTTTTTCTACCGTATTTTTTATTTTTGTAAATTTTTCAAATTCTATTTTACTTCCATCATTTCATCTTATTGTATTTCATTGTATTCATTTTTTCAAATTTTCAAACTTTGTCCTTTTTTTTCTTATCTTTCCATTTTTTCTCTAATCTACCAAGCTCCTTTCAACAACCAGACCAAAACACACCTAGGATCTAGCATCATTTATTTGATTTTTTTGTGTATTGTTTTTAATTTTCTAATTTTAATTTTTTTTACCTTATTAATTCCTTTTATTCTCTCAAAATGACAAAATGAAGGAATCCCTGCCTCAAAAGAAAGAGCAGGAAGAAATGACAGCCAGGGACATAATCAACACAGATATAAGCAAGATGTCTGAACCAGAATTTAGAATCACGATAATAAGAATACTAGCTGGGGTTGAAAATAGATTAGAAACCCTTTCTGTGGAGATAAAAGAAGTAAAAGCTAGTCAGGATGCTTTGAAGTAGGCCTCACGCCCAGTGTGGAGCCCAACGCAGGCTTGAACTCATAACCTGAGATCAAGACCTGAGCTGAGATCAAGAACTGGACGCTTAACCGACTGGGCCACCCAGGTGCCCCTGAGGATTTACATTTTTAAGTTGCAGCAGTGCATTTTCCTACCTAGAGACAAAATCAGTGAAGGAAGCAACAAGAAATGGAAAGGTGCCGTTTCGGACCTTCTGATAATTTCATTTCTTGGCTAAGTAACAGCCTGTGAGTCCCACACAGCTTTTCCAGGAGACGAAAGCGATCTTGGGTGCAGAGAGCACGGCGTCCCCTGAACCACTGTGCATCCTGAGGAACGTGGCTCAGTGGCCACACATGAAGGTTACTAGAGCACTGTGCTGTGAGGGTCGTTCCAGCAGGAGCTGGTCTGAGCTATTTGGCTGGCATGACGAGGTACCCCATGACACTGGCTTCTGGTCACGGAAGGAAACCTACTCACTCCTAGTGTTGCTCTGTGACCAGAGGTCCAAGGAGTCCCGGGGAGGTTTGTGACAGCTTCTCGCAATTACTTATTGGTAAACGTGAGAACAATGATTTATACCGGGTCCCGTGAGACCCATCCAGAGGGCTCTGCCCCTGGGGCTGGCAACATGCCCATCATGGAAGAAGAAACCCAAGCCCAGGACCCGTTTTGGGTCTCCTGGTTCTGAGGTGCTTTGTGAACATACTGGTGGGTCCTGACCCAAGAGAGAAAGCCCATCTATGCAGCTGTGAGGAAGGAGAGAATTTTTTTTTTTTTTTTTTTTTTTGCCTGGGATAAATACTCTCATTTTATTATTATTATTATTATTTTCAACATTTTTTATTTATTTTTGGGACAGAGAGAGACAGAGCATGAACGGGTGAGGGGCAGAGAGAGAGGGAGACACAGAATCGGAAACAGGCTCCAGGCTCCGAGCCATCAGCCCAGAGCCTGACGCGGGGCTCGAACTCACGGACCGCGAGACCGTGACCTGGCCGAAGTCGGACGCTTAACCGACTGCGCCACCCAGGCGCCCCTATTTTTTATTTTTAAGTTTATTTATTTTTATTTTTTTTAATGTTTATTTATTTTTGGAGGAGAGAGACAAAGTGTGAGCAGGGGAGGGGCAGAGAGAGAGGGAGACACAGAATCCCAAGCAGGCTCCAGGCTCTGAGCCATCAGCACAGACCTGATGAGAGGCTTGAACCCACGAACCGTGAGATCATGACCTGAGCCATGGTCAGACACTTAACAGACTGAGCCACTCAGGCGACCCTAGTCCTCAGCTCTTAAGACAGTGGACAATGTCCAGCAACCTGAGTGTTTGTCCAGCATTTTCCAGTATTCTCAACAGTGAAATATCTTCATCTTCTCTTAGGAATCCTTCAGGCTCACGCCCCAGGTACGTGGGGGGTCGCACGTCTGATTTGTGAAATCTGAAGACAGACAAGGACTGAGGACTTCCGTGAGTCAAATCCTTGAAGCTGGGCATGTGAGGAACATGTTGCAATCAGCAGCACTGAGAACGTTTCCAGAACGTAGCTGTGAAAGGAGGAACTTAACAGTTAGAGAAACCTTGTTCCTGCCCACACTCTGGAGTCGTGAGTGAGGTTGTGGCCGTCCCAGCTCCGCTCCCTCCCACGGGCTGCACAGCTGAAGACGCGGCTCTGGACAGGCTGGTTTGCTGCCATGATCCCTAGGCTACTCCCACTGCTCTGTCTCAGTAAGTCTCACGGGGCGACCCTAGAAAACAACAGACTCGGTAAGGGGTTTGGGCTGGGGATTGAAAGAGAAAACAAAAACATCAGCCTTGGTTTATTGAGCACACACTATGTATCAGAAATCTTGCCGAGTGCAATCAATGCACACATTACTTCTAAACTGGTGCTTTACAAATTTCAATGAATGTTCCAAGTTCATGATTCTGCAGAAAAGCCTTTGCTACCTGTACTTTATTGGCTTAACGTGTTTTTTTTTTTTAATTTAAAAATAATGTTTAAAAAAAACAAAAAACAACAACAACAACAAAAAATGTTTATTTATTTTTGAGAGAAAGACAGAGCACAAGTGGGGGAGGGGCAGAAAGAGAGGAAGTCACAGAATCCGAAGCAGGCTCCAGGCTCTGAGCTGTCAGCACAGAGCCCGATGCGGGGCTCAAACTCACGAACCATGAGATCGTGATCTGAGCCGAACTTGGACGCTTAACTGACTGAACCACCCAGGTGCCCCAGCTTAACGTGTTTTGTTTTTAATACTGACTTAGCCTTTTGTACCTAAATAAAAGTGCTTAGGAAAGAAACTTTCGATACTATGAATGAAAATCCAGGTCGGGGCACCTGGTGGTTCGGTTGGTTGAGCATCGGCTCTTGGTTTTGGTTCAGGTCATGGACCTCATGGTTTATGGGATTTGAGCTGCGCATCAGGCTCTGCACTGACAGCATGGAGCCTGCTTGGGGTTCTCTCTCTCTCCCTCTCTCTGCCTCTTCCCCACTCAAGAACACACAGACCCGCGCTCGCTCTCTCTCTCTCTCTCTCAAAATAAATAAATAAACTTAAAAAGTCCAGGTCAAATACAGAAACTATAAAGTAAATGCAGTGAGAAGGAAACAGTATTAGCATTCTCTAACTATACGCTGGTCCTTGTCAAGCTTCTGGGCCTGAGAGCTGCTAGTTCTCTGCTATGGAGGCAATTAGCCCCCATCCAGGTATGTCAGAGGCTAGCTTCAAGGAGGCTCTCTTGGTGCTTACTGCATACAATCACGCAGAGCTTGGACTGTCCTTCCTTCTGCCTCAAACTCATCACGTCTAACACTGATGGGACATATTCCACACTTGGGCTGGTCTCCACCCCTCAAAAAATAAAAACAACACTCCCCACAACACAAACCCTGCAAGAGAGGACGAGGTCCACGTCTGCAGATTAGGAATCCAATCTGAGTCTGCAGAGTCAAGTGCCTTGTCTCGGATCGCACGGGTGGTATGCAGGGAAGCCAGATCTCAACCCAGAACCGCCGGGTTCTAAAAACGTTTCCACTCAGCCAAGATGTTGAAGTAAGAGGGACACACACACATGGGGTCCTTGGTATGGAGCACTCTAGGAGTGTCTGAAAGGGTTTCGGGGTTGGAAACCCCTGAGGAGGCAGAGACGTGTGATTCAGAATGTCCCCAGCGATGGACCAGAGACCAGAACTGGTCTCCAGAAACCAACAAAGCTTGATATCCACAAACAGAAAGGGAGGACTCACGTCAGCATGGCTCTTTGCACTTGGCTTCCTGCCATCGCCACGGATCTCTGATCCCAAGACTTCAGGCTTGCTTGCAGAGGGCCCCTTATGTCAGAGGCTCGTCGTAGGAAGACACGCCCGTCTGTGTCCAAAAAAAATATGTCTACTATTCCTTTTATCGTTCATTCTCCTCTGGCTGGGTTAGGCACAGGTCCCACTAGCAATGCCTTCCAGAGATCGTCTCCGGATACATGTCTGAAATCTTCACTCCTTTTGACGGCTGAGTACTATTCCACTTATATATGGATCTCATTTTGCTTCTCCATCCGCCTGTTGGTGGGTGCTCTGCCTCACTGCAGTGAGATAAACTTTTTTCCATGTTTGGCTTTGAGAGTGAGTGAGTCTCTCCTAAGAGGACTTCCTCTTGCCTCCATAAGCAATGAGGCCTCTAAGCAAGTGTCCTGCTCAAGACAGGGGTGAGATCAGATGAGATGTGCCGGGGCCTGGGGCCGAATGATAAACCCCACATGGCCTGAAGGTGTGTCCAACCACCATCTACCAAGTTCCATCTCCTTCCTGCTAACAGAGCACAGGAGGCCACTGAAGCGATTAGGCCCATGTTCTCCTTTTTTTTTTTTTTTTTTTTTTTTACCCTGTGTGGACCACCAGTTTTGTGTCTCAGAAGTAAAAAGGGAGAAACTACCAGTTTTTTGTGTTTTTTTTTTTAGTTTTTTTAACGTTTATTTATTTTTGAGACAGAGAGAGACAGAGCATGAACCGGGGAGGGTCAGAGAGAGAGGGAGACACAGAATCTGAAACAGGCTCCAGGCTCTGAGCTGTCAGCACAGAGCCCGACGCGGGGCTCGAACTCACGGACCGCGAGATCATGACCTGAGCCGAAGTCGGACGCTTCACCGACCGAGCCACCCAGGCGCCCTGAAACTACCAGATCTTTATGCTAAAACTGCCTCCCTCCCTCCATAGTTCTCTGATCCCAAGATGTCAGGCGGCCCCACAGAGCGATCCTTACATCACCTCCTTACCTCCCTCAAAGGTGTTTGGGACTGAGTGTCTTGAGGAGTGCAGGAGGGGGCTGAGGGACACAGGGCTGGCACTGCAAAGGCTCTGAATTTTCACAGGCCCCGAAATGTCCCGTGAGGCAAGACAGAGCATACGCCGACTTCTCTGTCCTAATCGCAATCCCCTTGTGAGCTGTCCCATGCCATCTAGAATTTATTTTCTCAGACTCCCACTTTGTCTGGCATCGGTGAGAATTTTCTTTTCAATACCGTAAACACACCCATTATGTTCTGCTTTTTATTACGTTAAATATATGTAAATAATATTGATCCTCTTAACTCTCTGTAAGTATACATTTCGGTGGCATTTCAGTGCATTCACAATGACGTGCAACCTTCACCCAAAACGTTTGTCATCCCCGACATAAACTCTGTACTCGTTCATCAATACTCCTTTCTGCTTCCTCCCCAGCCCCCTGATAACCATGAATTTGCCCATTCTAGCCAGGTACTTTGTGTCAGTGGAATCACACAGTAATTGTTCTTGGGTGTTGGGCTAATTTCACACAGCAAAGTGTCATCCAAGTCCACTCATGATGTAGCATCTATCAGCATTTCATTGCTTTTAATGCTTACTTATTTTTGAGAGAGAGAGACAGAGTGAGAGCAGGGGAGGAGCAGAGAGAGAGAGGGAGACACAGAAACAGAAGCAGCTCCAGGCTCTGAGCTGTCAGCACAGAGCCCGCCGTGGGGCTCGAACCCACGAACTGTGAGAGCATGACCTGAGATGAAGGCAGATGCTTAACTGACTGAACCACCCAGGTGCCCCAGCATTTCATTCCTTTCAAATGGCAGAAGAGTATTCCACTGTCTGTACAGACCACAGACCTTTCCTTTATCCACTTATCCTTCACTGGATGCTTGGGTCTTTTCATGTTTTGGCTATTTATCACTTTTTCTTTTTCTTTTTTTTTTTTTTCAAAACGTGGGATGTAGTATTTTTGATTTCCCCAGACAATTTTAGCACAAAGGCCTGGTAACTTCCCCCCTTTTCATGACTAAGACACAAAACTGGTTCACACAGGGAAAGAAAAGAAAGAAAGAAAGAAAGAAAGAAAGAAAGAAAGAAAGAAAGAGAGGAAGAAAGAAAGAAAGAAACAGGAAGGAAGGAAGGAAGGAAGGAAGGAAGGAAGGAAGGAAGGAAGGAAGAGGGAGGGAGGGAGGGAGGGGAAATCTCTTAAGTATCTGTTGACTTAGAGCAATCACTCTCTTCCAATAAATTCTGTAAACAGGCTTGATGTTATTTTTTGGGAGACCTTAGAACTCAGACAAAACGTGTCTACCACATTTGGGCATTAACAGCAGGATGTCTGTGGGTGCTCGGAGATACACATAATAAATAACTGTCAATTGCAAATTTCTTTCTAAGTCAACGGATTTTTTTTTTTAAGTTTTTATTTTTGAGAGAGACAGACAGAGTGCGAGCGGGGGAGGGGAAGAGAGAGAGGGAGTCACGGAATCCGAAGCGGGCTCCAGGCTCTGAGCTGTCAGCACAGAGCCCGACGCGGGGTTCCGACTCATGGACCAGGAGATCATGACTGCAGCCAAAGTTGGACGTTTAATGGACTGAGCCACCCAGGTGCCCCTGGCATAGAGCAGCCTTCAGCATGGGGTGGGGAGGGGTTCTTCTGGCACCAGTGAGGCTGTCTGCAGACTGTCAGGCCCACTCAGGGTCTCAGACAAGATCAGAGGTGGCCCAGGGTCACATTCAAGTCCCATGCTTCCTGATCTTTCTCAGGGTTCCTGCCTTCTACATCCAGGGTGAATTGGTGGGGGCCAGTCGGGGGGATGTTCAGGAACTGTAACACCAGCCTGACAGAAATGCAAGAACCTGTCCGTAATAGAGGCTGAGAATCCAGGGGTCTGTGGACGTTTGTGAAGCCAGGAGAGCCCCTGGAGTGGCAGGTGGCATCCAAAGAGGAGCCCTTCTGTGGGAAATGGGGCAGGAGCGGAGGGCGGAGTGGAAGCCTGGGTCCAGCATGGGAAATGAGAACCCCAGATGCGTGACCTCCAGGGTCTGGTCTCAGTGGCAGCACCCCCCCCCCCCCCGGGGAGGTCCCCTTGAGACAGGGCTCAGGTCTCACGGACAGACGGTTCTCTTGCAGGGCTGTGCGCTGGCCAAGGAAGCAGGGGGACTGATGGTGAGTGTTCCTTCAGTTAAACCCTCCCTCTCCTTCGCTCCAAATTCCCCACATCCCTTCTCTTTCCTTCAAGGGGTTTCCTGACAGCAGGCGAGGGCACCAAATCCTGTCCCCAATCTGCTTCCTTCCAGAGCCCCTTCCCAAGCCCACCCTCAGGGCCTGGCCCAGCTGGGTGGTGCCTCCCAGAAGCAATGTAAGGCTGCGATGCCAGACCCCGACCAAGGATGTCGACTTTGTTC